CTTTTTTTCTTTTTTTCTTTTTTTCTTTCTTTCTTTCTTTATTTATTTATTTTTTCTTTTTCTCTCTTTCTTTCTTTCTTTCTTTCTTAATTAATTAATTTATTTCTATCTATCTTTTAACCATCACTTTAATTGCACAAGGTCGGACACACCTCCGGTTATGTTGATGGGCTTTTGTCTTCAGACGAGAGAAAAAGAGTTGGCTAAAATGTACCTTTTGCCTAGTTACACCTTTCTGTAGCATCGAGGGGTGCCAATTTCGCCTAAGCGTGTGGCACGTCAAGTGGACTTCAAGTGTAGCGTAGTCACATTCACCAAACCCAATGACACCATCTTTGTCTTCATGTCTTTCACAGTCATTCTTGAATTGGCACACAGACACACACACAGAGAGACAATCATAGGAATAGGCCTTAGGATGCCATTGAACCGGTGACAGTCTCATCTCGACCTCGCCTGTTCGTCTCTCGTCACCGACCCGACAGGGTTCGAGCATTGCACAACCACAGCCCGATCCCAGTGAGTCACTGGGCAGATGCGAAATGTGAGTTCCTCCAGGCCTCACCCAAATCGCCTTTTCCCCTAAGCAATCGGGCATTTGTCATCGCAATCAACGACGCTACTTGTTTTCGTAAAAAGTAGTTTGTGAGACTATCAGTAACACCTGAGATGGCTTGTCGCGAGGCAAGGCAGAGTGAAAGTCACTGACATTTTAAGGTCCACACATCTGATTGAATCGCGAAGTTTCTCGGCAAAAAAATCACTCTACGTGTAAATTGGTAGGGGCTTGGTCTGGGGCTCGCTGACACTCGTGGCAGAATTGCCGAGGGACAATGTGTCACCAAATTCGAAAAAGCATTCAAGTCCAATTCAGTTTGGATGGGGCAAAAATGTTGACTTGATTTGCATGCCATCCGCGAGAGGGGGTACATTTCATTACGTAAAAACAATTCCATTACTAACCTTCAAGTTTGGTCTGACCGAATTCTCCATTAGGAAGTAGCGATAGTCTCGAGAACTGCTCTCATCGGAAAACGTCGCTAAAGGGCAGATCTTATTTTGACTGCTCCTCTTCGTCTGGCGTGGATTGGAATGGAAGCAGGCGACACGTCGACTGAATTAAGTGAAGTGGAGGCCGGTTTTGGCAAAAAGTCTGTCACCGATGCATCCGAGACAACCCGGTCCACTGAAGCGACGTGATTAAGTGCATTCCTGGGGCCAAAATGCTGTTCACGTCAAGAAGGAGAGGAAAAATTAAATGCTTTTTCCACATCTGCTTTCTAAACTCTAAAACATTTCCTTACATTGTCTAGTTGTATGCATAACCGGCAAACAGTTGCACCGAATTGTAGCAAGCCTGATGGTTTTATTTGTGAATTTTCCGAGAAAATCGCCCTGAAACAGCCTTGCACAGTGCTTATTCTTCTTTTTCTTCCTCTTTTTCATCGTCTGAATTTGTTTCATTTACAGAAACGTCCTTCTGGAATGATGATTCAAATCGTCCTTTCACAAGTACACCTTCTGGAGGAGTTCGAAGAGGTCCAGCATGCGTCTGCAGGCCTACAGCCCCTCGGCGCCGGTGACGTGAACAGAGCAGACAATTCATGGATCCTTCATCACTCCGGCAACGGAAGCTATGCCAGACAGATTAGAAGCTCCCTTCTCGAAGTTATGAGCAAGTATTGCAGGTAACTGGTTGTCCAAAGTCAACGATTTATTTTACTTTATTCGAAACTACTGCTAGCACTACTGCTGTCTTTTTATTGCATCACCATCTCCGTTTGTGAACACCTCCATTGCCAACTTCACTCGTGACTTTTAGTTCACTTTAGGCCCTTCCCGTATCATATATTTATTGTGAAATCGTCTATGAAGCATGCGTTTGCCACTAAAGTCGACAATATTACTTGTTTCGATAATAAGTAGTAAAGCAAGACTGTCAGTAGAACTAGAAGAATAGACAATTGCAGGCCGTTCGAGAGAGCGTCCTGTTGCACCAGAGCCGGTCGTCATGACCGGTCTCGGGTTACTCTGAACATGCACTCACTCTCGACAAGCCGCAAAGGACAACTCGACTATTCTCCTTTCCCCAGCCTCACCCCCCTCCAATTTGGTACTTCCCCCCTGAAACTCTTATCACACCTTTATCACCACCGTCATCATCAACATCGCCATCAGCATCGGGATTAGTATTCGACTTAGCATTAGTAGTAGAGACAACCAGGCTATGCTGGTCCTCGCATCATTCTCTTAGAGAGTAAAGGTGGGAGTGTGAGTCTGGCGGGTAGAAATGGATGGGATAAAGAGTTAGATGGCCTTAGAAATGCTCTAAAATTGACCATTCGATCTTGTTACAATCGGCATAAAGTGAACTTGATGAAGGTGATGAAGGGAGGAGTGAATATGAGACCTTTGCTCCTGCTGAAGCTTCGGCTTCTTGCCCTCTTCTTGGCGGGATGGGTGAATTGTACAGAAAAAGGGGGTAATCATAACTGTTTTTAGCCAATTGTGACACTTTATTCG